TGTCTTCCGCAGGACTCAGGACCTCGGTAGGGCCTCCACAGACCTGCCTGTCTGCAGCGGGCTGATTCGGCGTGTGTTCCGTGCGACTGGGGACCTTGGTAGGGTGTGGGCAGACCTGCCTGTCTGCAGCGCGACTCAGGACCTCGGTAGGGCCAATCAGGTTCTTTTAAATGCTTCTTAAAACCAGGTGGTGCAGACATCATTGTCAGAAACACAGGATCCTGAAGAGGTCTCAGTCACTGTCAAGGCCTTTATGAAAGCCAACCTGCCTAATGAACTAATTGAGCTGCTAGAGAAGATTGTTCTGGATAACTCTGCCTTCAGTGAGCACAGGAGAGGGTGTACTGGGGTAGTGGTGGCTGTGGTTAGATTCAGACAGCTGCTTGATATTCATACTTCAGGATATCTTGTCTTCCCTCACCCATCTGGCCTCACCGTCAACTGTGCCCCAGGCTTCTTACTGTCTTTTATGTCTTCAGTCCAACCTTCCCTTCTCTTATTTAAATCCTGCTGTCTCTTAGAGCACAGCAAAATTTTGCTTTTCCCAAAAGCCTTCATTCCTCAAATTACTCTGGCCTACGCTACTCTGGAACCACAAGGCTCAGAGAAGGAGAGCTATTTGGTAAAGGTCCACTGTATTCCAAGTATGTGTTAAAGGCTTGAAATCATAGTAAACCAAGAAAGCTTGGAAAAAAGTAGCAGGAGATCTAGAGCTGGGTACGTAAATAAGAGAGACTTGCTGGAAACTGGACATAGAATCCAAATGTGTGGGAACTATGCTGGCAGAAGCAGCAGCAGGACAAATGTCTCGGGGTCAGAGAGTATGTTTCACCATGGTGTTAGCCAACATGTTGCCACTTCAGAATTCAATATCAGAGTACTGGGCATGGTGGTGCATGCCTGTAATCCCAGCACTCAGGAGGCTGAAGAAGGAGGATTACCCCGAGTTCAAGGCCAGGCTGGGCTACATAGTAAGTTCAAGACCAGCCTGAACTACATAGTGAGACCTTGTTTCAAAAAATAAAATGAAATAAAATAAAATAAAAACAAATTCATCATCAGAGAGGCTGTTCCAGGTTATATAGTATGTTATCATTAATCCTACTGTAAAGATTTAATTGTAAGATTTATTTTGTAGGCCGAAAGGCTTTTGAGGGCTGTGGTACTGCAGGAAGGAGTATGTGTATGTGTGTGGGGTGTTTTTAAATTTGGAAACGGTGGAGAGGGATTTAGCTCAGTGGCGCTGCACCTGCCTGGCAAGCTCAAGGTTCTGAGTTCAATCCCTGCTTAAAAAAAAAAAATTGGAAATGCTGCATGGTAAATTATGGAATGTGTGGTTACTATGTATTTTAGTAGACTCATAAGCTGACTACTGATAGGGTGCCTGAGGTGGCTAGGGTATTCTGCTTTGCTATCTGACCTATCTCCTTTGATAGACATTAGCTTGTGGGTACCTCTGGTCACTTACAGGCTCTGACTCTGCTACGGTTTTTTTTTTTTTTGACTGGGCATCGAACTCAGAACCTTGTGCTTGCGAGGCAGGTATTTTGGG